CCCAACTCCTCCCACAAGTGTGCCGCATCCCCACTCCTCCCCGAGCATCCTGAATGCCGTGAAACAGCTGATTTGCGGCAGGGGGGGGGCACTGGGAGGAAGGGGGAAGAGTTGGTCAGCCAGGCCACCAGTGGGTGAGATGCCTTGGGGGGAGGGAGGAGCTTGGCTCTGGGTGGGTGTAGAGCACCCACGAATTTTTCCCCGTGGGTGCTCCAGGGCTGTCGGCACCTACGGCCAGTGGTGGCAGTGATAGCAGCAGCAAGCCAGTTGCAGAGGTGGAGGCAACAGTGGACGCCTTGCTCAATGCTCCCCCTCCACACACACACGCTTTTCAGGGGTGGGAGGTGAAGCCATGTGAGGGCAGCTCTGAACTCTGGGTCTTGGCTGATTAAGAACAACCAACTGTGAGTGGGCTGCAGTGGTGGGAGAGGGGAGGGGTGTGTTACAGGTCGTTCACTCATTGGATTTTCACACAGAGAGGTGGGAAACTGAGGCAAAGGACACTGCCCAATGTACTGTGGGGCGGGGGTTTGCTTTGGGTTACATGCTTTTGAATCATGGCTGTGGTGTTTTCACAAAACAATGCTGGGTTCCCTTTGCCCTGTAATACAGGTTTTCTTTTGTTACAGCCAGACTCAGGGCGGGTGAGTGGGACATTTTCTCTTTTATCTTGTGTCTACACCAGCATTTGTCATCAGTAAAACTTTTGTCAGTCAGGGTGTGAAAAAAAGCCCCCTCCCCCCCCAACCGACATACGTTTCACAGACAAAAGCACGGGTGTGGACAGTGCTGTGTCGGCGGGAGACACTCTCCCAGCGACAGAGCTACTGCCACTCGTCGGGGGTGGTTGAATTATGCTGGTGGGAGGGCGGCATAGAGCGGCTAAATGGGAGACCCGATTACAGGGCAGCTGCCGTGGTACAGCTGTGCCGCTATAAGCCTTAAAGGGGCCTCTCTATAGCCTTAAAAAGGCCCAGGAGTTACATTTTCCCAGATTATTGGGTGGGGTCTCAAGTGTTTTCTAGTTTGTATTGCTAAGAGGAACCCTTGACATTGAACCCAGCCCGTCTTGCTGCCGACTCCACCTGGCAGAAGGGCGAGAGATCGATAGGTCCAGAGATAGTTTCAACACCACGGAAAAGGCTGCATTTGAGAAACAGAAACACTTACCAAGTTCTCGTTGAAGATCACCTAGGTAACACAGAACCAGAAACAAATACAAATTAATTAAGTGCTTCTCTTCTAGGACTGAATCAACCTCCCCTCAGGCAGCCTGTCCCTCACAAACCCACTGATCCAGGCTATGGGCAGGGAAACTACTGAGGTCTGGGGAGAAGAGTCTCTTTCCAACCCACAGGCAGGGCACGGAGCACCTGCAAAGTCCCATAGGGTGTGGCTACACAGCAACTGAATACCCCGAATTGACCCACGTCAGCTAAATAGGCTCAGAAGACATGGGCTGGGGGCCTGTATAATTGGGGTGTAGACCTTTGGGCTCATTTTGTGTCTACACTAGAGTAAAGTATCAAAAAATAACTGATTATCTGCATGGACTTAGTTCTGAAAGTTTTGAATTCCC